ATATTCTGATATGGTTCATCTCCAACAATGCTATTCCAGTCTCCCAATATGATGCTGTTTGTGTCACCTCTTCCATCTTCCTGAAGAATTTCTTCAATTGTGTCATACACTTTTTCCACTTCATCATCTTCATACTCTGATGTTGGCTTGTACACTTGCATAATCAGTATATCTACCGGTTCCGCCTTTAACTTAAGAGCAATAATTCTGTCATTATATGTTATTCCACGTTAAATATGTTTAACTGACAAAGGCGTCATGGTTTGTAACTTAATAAAATTTGTGTAAAATTGATCCAACAGAGGTAGCGCGCATCAACCCTACAGCATAGTTGTCCAGTCGGTTGGCTTTGAACTTAAATTATTGCCATTGCTATTATTATTATTATTATTATTATTATTATTATTACTAGTACTTCTACTGCTCTTCTTGCTGCTGCCGCTACTACTACTATTACTATCTATATTAGTTGTTAATATATACTGTAATGGATTGAATGAAAATATTGCCAGGCAACAGCTCCGAAACACATTCCAACAAGTAACAATAGAAGAACTTCCGTTTCTATGCAGTGGCCGGTAATCAACTTCCCACATGACAAAAATAGGGAATCCATTGTTGTAGCGAATGTTACAACTCGTTGCTAGGCAATTGTGTTGCAACACAAGAAGAGAAGAGGTTTTCTATGTAGTCGGTGCTGAAGAATTTAAGAGGTTCCTGAATATCCGAGGAGTCAGCCGCTGTAGCGGAAGCTACTAGAAATAGGGCATAATCTGCTGTACTGAGCCTGGACTGACAAAAGCCCTGTATATATTTTATATATATTTTTTTAACATGTAAAACATAAAAATTCTTTAAATTATGGCAAATGACTTACTACTACAGACAATGACTCTGGCAAAAGAGAGACCCGTCCTCTCGTTAGTGAGGGCGCCTCACAAAAACAAGACCGAAACTGTCAAACAGTAATAAATATCTGATCATAAGCCCCAGATTGGGCTCGATACCAAGACTGACTGACCGACCATCAGTCGCAGTGTGACTTTGACTCTGACCGAGGAGACAGTCCAGGAGAATTCAGTTCTGTACGGGAAGCTGTGAAGAATAGAGTTTCTTACAAGAGTTCGGCTGTGAAGAGAAGACTTATATTTCGTGTGTTATAAATCTGTTGCCAGGAAACAGATAGTAAAGAAAGGCCTAGCCATTGTTGAGATCTGTTACCTAGCAACAACTAGTGTAAGTAGGCATTGAAGACGTTATTTATGTGTTATAATTGGAGTAACAATTAGAGTGTTATAAGTAATTGTATTTACGACCTGTAAGTGATCAGTAAACCCGATTATAATCCGAACCCCGTCTATAGTTACTAATACACGTGACAATATATTTACATTTTATCTTCTTAATGATAAGTGTGTTTTCTGTTGATGGGAAAAAAGGTAAATTTGTTTCTGTGCTTAACTAATTAAGCACTATGCCATGGAGATATATGAGGGAGAGGATGTATAGATCCATATTTTCTTGACCTCAGTACTAGTTGGAAGTGGGTGGTCAGCTTCACACCCCAGCCGCTTTACCACCAAGTAAAGAGCCCCAGTTACTCCTTGTATAGGAGGCTGGGTGAGCACTAAAGCTGGTCTGGACAACATGGAGAAGAGAAAATTCTTGACCCTAACGAGCTAGAAACCCGAACTTACCGGGACTCGAACTCCGACCCCGCGGTCGTCCAGCCCGTAGCCATTCCCTATACCATCTGCGCTGTCCCGGCTCTGTATTACAAGCAAAACAAGGTTCTCACCATTGACAATTTTCCAAGGCGAACACGTGTTCAGGATTTGCACATGGCTTTCAGACTTCCGAACATACATGATTATATAACAAAATTATGCAGGCAACAATGGACAAGACGAAGCCCAACACAGGAAATAGAAGTGGCTTAAAGTTTGCGGCGGTCAAGCATACGACTGTTCAAGTGACTAGACTGCCGTTGTAGTGAAAGCTACTAAAGTTAGGGCATTCTGCTGTGCTGAGCCTGGACTCAGCCACAGACACAGTATGAATTCATATTGATTAATGACGCAATTCAGCATTTAAACAGCATTCGTGTATGCCCGAGGATGACGCAGGAAATGGTTCGAAACATGTAGCTATACCACCAACATCGAATAAAAACAAATGTTGACACAGTAGATTCTATTGTATTTCTTTTCGATTATTTGTTGTGCGACTGTCCCAAATTATGTCATTCTTAAATAACACACAACAGGATGCATATGATAAAGGTTCTTCATTAACAGCCACATTTCATTTCCTGGTTAATCTAAAAGTAACTCAGTTCAGTTAAATTCTTCTATATTTACATGTTAACAGTAAAAATATAAATTACAAAGTGAGCAAGAGTAAAGAAAATAAACCCCCAAAACATGGCAATTTATGCAACTTTAATAATAATAATAATAATAATAATTCGATTCGTGTTTATTTGCGTGCAAACGAACGATCTGAACTCCTCGGAAGACCCAAAGGCAGACGACAGGTTTTCTATATCAAAGCTTCTGGTAGCAATATCACATTAAACGCCATGCAAAATGAAAGTAAGTACCAGTAATTTAGTAGGTAGTTTACTTATGAAATAAATGGAAAATAAAGTCTGGAAGGTAATATTTCGATAAGTAGAAATCACGTGACATTAAAACCGTTTCACGCCTAAGAAATGTTGATCCATCAGTCAGATTCTGTTGCTTATAATTTCGTTACTTCACGTCAAATACAAAACAACTTCGGGGGCTGTAAATGGAACATATTAGTTCCATACTACATTTAGAAGGGGACATGCTGGAAGGTGGCGGGTTCGATTCCCAATTAGGTCACTGTGTTTTTCAATTGACGTAATCTTTCCAGCCGCAGTATGATCCTGGAGTCGACTAAGTCTCTAACAGAAAAGAGAACCAGGAATCTTCCTGGAGGTAAAGGGCGGCAGGAGTGTAAGGCTGACAACCTCACCATCATCTGTGAGCCGATTGTCTAAAGAAAATGTTGGAGCCTTGACGTCTCACAACCCTGTTGGCCTCCACGACCTGTTACAGGGATAGCCTCACGTTTTTAAACATTATTATTTTTATGTTCTTATTGAAGTTCTTCAAGTAAATTTTCATGAAGATGATTCTGCATGGCCCAGGCTTTTTCTCTTTGCTAACTTACTGGACTAAAAGTCTCCGAAAAGAGGAAAAGGTTTGTTTACTAGGAAATGGGGGAGGGTAGTGTTAAAACAGTCGGAAAATGATGTTATTTACGACATTGTAATGCTTATATCAAACATCTGAGAAACATTTGAAGCCTTACCTCTCTGTGCCACAGAAATTATCTTCACTTCAACTACTTTGTCATAAAATTATATAAAGAAATATTTTAAATAGGAATGTAATTACTGTAGCAAGTAGTATTGGAAAATAGGATTTTAAGATTGGATGTAGGAGGAATAGGCTCGGGACTGTATCCGATAGCGGTTTTTTGTACTGACGGTGTTGAACCTACAGGTTCTGCTGCTGCAGATATGTTGTTATATGAATGAAATAATAAATCACCTAATAATTACAATTAAATTAGCTTTTACTGCAAAAAGTGATACAAATCTGGCTCAATTAATCTAATTTCTCTCGTACGAGCCCTTAGAAAAGTAAACTTTTACTCGAATAAGAAGTTGATAAAATAGGTACTATGAAAATATTGATGTACTCTGCGCTAAAATTAATTTTGAATTAGATACTTAGAAAAGGCTTGATGGTTGTGGTTCCCTTATGTCAGGCTGCCCAGAGTCATGTCCTTTAAACAACAGCAATGTTAAGAAAGTAGTTGATTTACATTCCAGTCAGCAATAATTATTTCTTTGTAGGGTGACAATTACAGGGACATCATGTGATGTTAAAGCTTTATTAATAAGATTTTAATAGTGCGAATTGCAAGGAATAAAAGAAAAATTATGTTTAAAAATAGCACAAAAATTAAAGATGTCTGAAGGCGTGTTGCTTTGTTATTAAGAAATATAATCTTAGATTATATTTTTATCAGTGTAGTAGAATGAGTAAATTAATTATTTTTAAGTACCCAGAACACCCCTTGTTTATGTGTGATTTTTCTTTAGGCACAAATGCGAAGTTCTTCCTCTCTTTAAGCACAACAAATGAAGCCATACTGCAAGAGCACACTGGAGGTGTCTATCCAGAAGAAATTCTTTTTTCATTTGATAATGTAGAAGATGGTGGGAACTTTATCGCAAAGTTTCAAAACTTCCCATAATAACCATGGCTACACAAAATGCACTGAATTTCATGCAAATGCTTCATACTACATAATAAAACTAGCCTGAATCCAACGTTACGTTGAGAAACAAAAGCCGACACCTGAAGATTAGACATCGAGTTTTGCACTCCGATTAACCATGGGGCACACAGATAATGTTTTAAAATTATTAAAGTAAAATATTTTATTTTAATTTTTTGTCACCTCAGCATATTTAAGCACTATATTTAAGAAATTAAACTATGATGTAAATATTAGGTTGGATTATGTTAATATTAAGAACAATTACTCATGTATAATTCTCATGATATTTTATATTTATTTTAATAACTTATACATTCTTGGTGAAGCCTGTTATATTTTTAATAATGTTTGTGTATTGATCTTATTTATTTGTTATTATTGTATTGGTGATTGTTAATAAACAGAGAGTACTAGAATCTAATTTTCATTATTTCTGGAGCCAACTAGTGTGGTTATGGTGTGCCTGATTATTTCTTACTGTGTATTTGTTCCCTGTACAAGATTGTGTGGTTTCTCTTACGTGGGCCCCGGAGTACATTTAACCTGTTATAGGCTGTTCATACATTATTCACATTACCAATAATGGACTGGTGATAAAAAGCTTTCTTTCGAGTGAGATCACTATAAGGTATTACAAAACAAGATTTCTAAGTGTGTACTCCATACTGTAACAAAGAAAACTGCCATTAGCATATTCCGAGATTCATCAAGTTAGCTTTAAAGTGAGAATAAGAAAATCCAGAATTAATGACTATTTTTCACATAGAATTTAAACAAAATATATGGGGCGATTTTTGTTGTATGTGAAAAATTACATGTATAGCTTTATGCAATGAATGAATGAATGAATGAATGAATGAATGTATAAGGGGTGGGCCTTCTTGGCCCTTGCACCATGAATTCTCTGATCTATTGTGGCTCTAGCTTTATGCAGACTAGGCTGCCTTCTTAAACAATTGTCTGAAAACCCGTAATTGACTGAGAATTTTTTGTTGAAGTTCTTCATATCGTATTTCAATAAAATTTGAGAAACTGTTTATATGATAAAAGGAAGAGTTAATATATGGTTTATGTAAACCAGACTTTATTGTGGAATAAATGTCCCACAACCTTTTGTGGAAGTCTCCCATGATGAATTTCAACAATATACAATATGTGGAAACTCTCCATTTATGATCTCGTGTAGACCAGACGTCATTTTGATCAGTCTGACTGAAAGAATTGCCCGACAACTTGTAGTGAAAGGCTCCCATAAGTAATTTGAAGAATATTTGTTCTATGCTAACATTACCTCATAAACAGACAAACTGACCTCCATGTAAGGTGTGACTCTCCTGACTTTGTAAAGACCACCTGAAACATACTATACCAATAACAATAACCATAATCTGTGATTTGCCTGACATCATGGAACTAACAATCACTCAGACAATAAATTTCCAATCTTTTGTAGAGTAACAAGATTTATTACACTGTTCACAGGAATATGCTACTGGTCCCTATTTTGCGCAATATGAATCCAGTCCGTACCCTCACACCCTATTTCCCTGAAAAACATTTCATTGTTACCCTCCCATTCACTAACCTGATATATGTTCAGTTCTCTGTTGCCATTAGACCAGTAGTATTCTGCAAAAGTTGAACAGTTCGTGGTACAGTGATATACATACCAACACGTCTTTTGGATCAAGAGAACCAAATTCAAGAACATAGTCCTATGATTCGAATAAGGATCAGTAGGGAGCTGCAAAGGCTGCATATTAAAAAATTAAAAATTGTGTATAATATTTATTGAAACTTCTCTGTGTAAAGCAGAGACAAAAGAAACTACACAGAAACTCCTGTTAATTCATGAATCAGAGAAATATAGCAACTTTATATAAGTTTAATATAATTATTGATACTTGTACATGTTAGTGTTTATTAGTTTTGTTACAGTACCTGTATTTTTAAGAAAGAGACATACAATTTCCTTATAATTTCCATACACAAACCTTCAAATGTAAATAAATAAATAAATAAATAAAATACTATTATAATAATTAACAATTAACTATAATGATTACTTCTAAATATCATAAAAGTAAACTTCTCCTTATACACAAATACTTTTACACAATAAAAGTATCTTCCCCAAATATTCCATATTTTAGTGCTTCAGCATTAGCATTACAGAAATCAATGAACTGAGTTATGGATTAATTAGGAATAGAGGGTACAGAAAAGCATGCTACAGACATATGAGTGATGGACGGGTTATACTTTGATGCGAACCTATATTTTTGCGCTATTTCCCGTTTTGAAGCATATCACACCAGGCACCAGCTTATAATCTGATACACTTGGTGAAACTGAATGACTAGCCATAACAGGTAGGGAATATTTCTTCACTGGAATATGTTAATATCATCTTATTTTTGCACAGATGGAATACAGTCAGTTCCTTTAGTAATGGAGTGAGTGTTACAATTTAAACACAACATTCTGCAGGTGTTAGTACCTTACCACAGTACTGAATACACAATAAATAATACTGTACTGCTTGTTTAGTAAGGCATATGAGATTGACTGGAACTACAGCACATATGGGGATGATAAACACAGAATTTTAATTGTAAGACTTTACAGGAAGAGACAACAGGGGGTCTTGAGCATATGTGTGAAGATTATGTTAAACTGTACTTTAAAGAAACAGAGTGTGCAAGTGTGGAGTAGATTCAGTTGGCTCTGGATACAGCCAAGCATCAAGCTCTTGTGAATACTGTAATGAAAATATGGGTTTCACAAAAGCCTGAAAATTTCCCAGCTGAGTAATGACTATGTTGGATTGAGTTAGTTTGGGTTTTCAGTAAAATTAGGATTAACTTATCAATGCATCAGTGTCACACATGTCATTGCTAAATAGGTTACAAAATAGAGTGTTGCTTAATGTATTACTCAAACAGTAACAAAACTAAATATTGGCAATGAATTGCAGGCTTTCACGTTGAGAGAATATATTCAATAACATCTGCAGATTTTATAGCTTTTCAATTTTATGTAATGCAAATATTAGTTCCAGAGTCTGTAGTCAGAATGCAGGGATACCATACAAGTTTAATTCCTAGCAAATTCAGGGTTTCACATCATACATTTCGCCGTCTTTCCTAAACATTCACCATCGATCTGCACAGTACTGACATTAAAGTTCTCTCTTGTGTAGTCTGTCAGATATTCAATTTAAAGGGCCTAAACAAGAGTTTATAAAAACACGTTCACTTGCAGCTGTATTAAATGAAGTCGGTTATGACATCATCCGTTTCCTTGTGATTCACCTCACATCATTTCTTTCATTCCAATGGGGAAACTGCACCTCTGTTTAGGAGTTTATAAACAAATCCGTGTTGTCGAGGTCTTCTACAGAAAACAGCGCCTCTTCAGGGTAATTGGTGTTGTGGTGTTCTTGAATGTCAAGCTTGTTTGATTCGTTGATTATAAGGAAGTGGTTGGAGTGTAAACCTGTAAAGCCAACATTATAATAAGCAACAACAAAATGAAAGAATACGTCATCTTCTCAGATAATTTGACCGAACGTTGTTATCACTCCCATACAGGTTTACTTCCTGCGACGCCCATCATAATAATCAACTCCATGGCACAAGAGAGCCGGAATAGCTCAGTCGTTAAAATGACGGGCTAGGGGCTGGACGGCCAAAGAATTGGAGTTCGATTTCTGGCACGGATAAGAAAACTTTCTCTACTCCTCAGCGTCCAGACCGACACGGGGGCCAATCCAGCGTCCTCTCCAATGGGTACTGGGGCTTTTTCCTTTGGGGTTGAAGCTGATCGGTTACCTCCATTTTGTGCCGAGGTAGAGAATAGTGGAGCTATACTTTCAATCTCCCGCAAGTCTCCATGTCGTGGTATTTGATGAATTAAGCGCAGGGACAACTTTACAGTTTACTTTTACCTTTACTGCGAAACAGAGCGCTTCTTTACAGGCCTTCAGTTAGGCAAGAAATATCTTATCTTGTTTTCCTTTTAGACATGTACGCCTACACAAGCGGATCAGAGCAGAGAAGATAAAGAGGAAAACATGAAGGAGGAAGAGGATGAAAACTAGAAAAGAGAGGAAGAGAAGATAAAGGTGGAAAAAACTAAAATGAGACAGGAATTGTAAGAAGAAAGAAGGAGAAAATAAGATGAAAGAAGAAGTAGTGGAAAAAGAGGAAGAGAAGAAAGGACAGAAGACAAAAGGAAATTAAGAGAATAATATGAAAAAGAGGAAGTTAAATAAACAGTGAGGGGGAAGGAAAGATGAAAAGAAGAAAGAGGAGCAAGATAATGAAAGGAGGACTAGTATAATGAGAAAGAAAACGAAAGGAGGATTGATAAGAAGAAAACGGGTGGAAAAGGTAAGCGGAAGAATATGAAGATAAAGAAAGAGCTGTAACCGTACGTCCCTCGCCAAAATTATTTAACTAAGGTAATGAACAACTGATGCATTGTTTAATACCATGACAGACGCTCCATCGGCGAGATACCATCCCGGGACCGTCTAGTTGTAATTCAACTATTGTCCCCTTTAGGCTAAGGGTGCCACTATTGTCCCTAACGCCGCCTGTTTACTCCCAATGCCATAAACCCATGAACTGGCCGTGTGCGAGACCGGCCATGAGGGGTCTTGCGTGCCTTGAAGACCTAAAAAAGTTTACGGGCTTCTCGAAAATACGAATGTGGGTCAGATGCCGGGCTCGACCCTTGGCTTTCTCTTTTTATGTTTCTATTTTTTCGTTTTTTAGGCCAACTGGGGGACTGGTAAAGAGAGGGCAGTCGGTTATAGGGAGCGGAAGAGGACGGTAGTTGGAAGGTAGATAGAGAAGAGAGAAGTGTTTAAGAGTAGTGGTAGCGAGTCGGCGGACGGAGCGGCTAGCTTGGAGAATAATGTAAATATTCATCATTAATGAAATTTTAATTAAAACTGCAATCCACGGTGTGTTCTGGAGCCCCCCGGATTCATAAACCTCGAAGTGTGTTCCACTCCCATATCCGAAGCACCCGTATCCTGTGATTAAGAACTCAAGCTCGAGCGAAAGTCGTGGCGGCTGTACGTCGGTGGACGGCTACAGAGCTAACGAAACAAGCTTAAAATACTCTTCTTTTATGTTGCCTTCATGTCTGATGGCTTGGGTCTGTTCGCAACCTTCCACGCATTTTCCGTCTAACTGTTCCAGTTCCGATTAATCATGAAGTTGATACATGCTAGGGCACCTTTGACGGGGGATCAGGCCACCTAAAGGTTCCTTCCTACACAACACAGTAGCAGACACACTGACATAAATTACATGGATTCCTAGAGCGAAATTTGAATCCGCGAACCCACTATTATGCGGCACAATGATGCAAGAGTGTAGAGGTAGCTTTAGGTCAAAACGAAGCACCCTAATGACAGTCAGATTATACTGAACTTAACTGGCTCTTGTCAAATTTGGTACTTTCTAAACTTACCGTTCATGGCTTCGAGTGCAACATTGCTGCCCGATGTCTTGATGTAGAAAAACCTGCTGTCTGCTTTCGTGAATCTCAAAGGATCCTCCAACACACCTTCTAGTTCATTCGAGTTCAGCACTGCTGCCATGTCTCTCAGTGACTGCATGATCAGCCGACAAGCAAGATCCGTTAATAAATCAATACATGACATAAGCCCTATCATAACTTACTAATACCACGAAGCAAGTCTTTTTGTGAATCGAACTTAATACTCTTACAGACAGTCAAGAATTCCTCTACCATTAATGGAACTAGTGTTCATAACCGTTCATAACAGCCCACCACTAGACCTTGTCCTGAGGTCCTGAGCCACCTACATTCAGTTCACATGTATGCACCGAAGCATGCACACACACACACACACACTCGCACGAGAACTATTTCCTAAGATCCACCTACTCTGCGAGTATTAACCTACTCTCTACGTCAGCCATGTCAAACATGCGGCCCCCATAGCCATAAAGTGCGGCCCCTCAACTTTTAGAGCTAATTGATATTAAAATCTATATTAAAATTTTTGTAGAAATATTTTTTTATAAAGACAATTTTCCAACAGACCAGAAGACAAGAAGTCTCACGCAGACATAAATTAGCAGGCTGCAGGAAATTCAATATTTTGCTATTTCTTACAAAATTTCTTGTGTAATCTCTCTTTTTACATATTGAAAAGTTGTTTGATACTTGTCAAAAATGGCATTCTCTTGCTTTTTGAAACTGTAAGATATGTGACTTTAGGTAATTATATTTAAATTATTCCTAAATAATAAATGGAATTAAATTTCCTTGTATCAAAATCTAATGTATATTTCTATTTTGAAGTGCGGTCCTGGACTGTTATTTAGAGGGCTGAGGTGGCCCTCTGTACAAGTTGAGTTTGACATGCCTGCTCTACGTGGTCCCTTTAGTATCTCTGATTGTCATTTCAAATGTGTTTGTTGTCTGTTTTACGTATGCTACACTGATTTATCACTCTAGTAATGTTTAGTGAAGATGACAGATTATGAATCGTATCAAAACATAGATAAATAGTTTCTCTACCTTCCAAATAAAATTAATATGTTCATATACATATATAATAAAAATTATAATCATCATCATGACAAGGCTTAACTTTCTAAGACAGTTTGTAATTTTAAAATGCTTCATTCGTAGATAATGAACATTTCTTCTCTAGCTGAATTGCGTGACACAAAATATACAAAACATAATTACCGACATCTGAAGTTTCTTATCTGCCGTCATGCTTAAGCAGACTTTGGTGGCCTGGTGCACTGGAAGCACCATCTTGGTTTCCCAAGCTTCTGCACTTGTGTAGTAATAGAGAGAAAAGTCAACTGAAATAAAGAAGACAAACGCTTTCAAATTCAGGAAGCACAGAAGCCTCACTGCGGCAATGGATAGCCTTTACTCTGAAGATGGAGGGTTCAGATACAGTCCACTGTGGTTTCAAGAAACCAATTCCAGTGAAGTGGGCTCACGAACTTATGGATGCCCTCATTCAGGAGATCCGGAAAGCCAAGAACCTCCTGAGTAAAGCGTTGCCGCTGCATTAACCTGTTCGGTGATTTATATTTCTGTATGTTATTACTCTCTTGTATTTCCTAGATTTAATTTTTCCGATCTGTGGTCCTTCGATCAAATTGCAACTATAGATATTTCTAATGAAATTTTTATATCGGAATCAAGTTTCATCGAAACTCGGAATCTGTCGTTTCGAGAGACAGGGGAGGAACATAGCAGCAATTCCGAAAGCTCTGTTACGACTTCTTTTGGACTTTAGGCGTATTCTAATGCAGCATCTTCAGTCGGTAGGATCCATAAAGTTTTTCTGTTCGAAACGGTCCTCACAGTTTGCTCCTAACACTTCCATCATTAGATCTCCACTTACTCGCAGTTCCTGTGAGTGTATTGTTTGTCACATAGGAATTGTTTTGTTTTTGTTTATAAAATTAAACTAACAAACTTAAAGAAGAAAGTCGTCTTCTGGGTTTACGCTACGTTCCTCCGAAACGTCGGCCGAAACGAAGAATACACGGTGCCTAAACCCAGAAGACGACTTTCTTCATTGTCATCGCCGTGAAAACCTCAAAACTTACATAACAAACTTAAGTTTACAACTATGTCGTTCAAGAAGTTAAGAAAAGTGATTTGATTATAAGATAAATATATATGCTTATGTTTACCTATCAAATGTCCTGATTAAGCTGTTAAAATCAACGATATGAGATAGAACATTATGTAACTGACTATATGTGGCACAATACTTCCTAGTACTCATGAATCAAGCCCCTCATTCTACAGAAACTTACAGTTTATTACCGTGTTCACTAGGCCGTCACTAGCTATTATCTTGAACTAGATGAATCCAGTCCATAAGCTTACCCTCATGTCCTATTTAAGATCCATTTTAATATTGTCACGTGTTAAGAGTGTGACTGTTGACGGGGTTTGGACTGGTGACCCGATTTATTGACCACTTACACACTCATGACTCGTGACTACAGTTTACAGATCACCGACACACAGATTAGCGTCCTCAGATTATTTCAGTCTCAACTAGCCGTTTCCTTGCAATGGATTTTAAAAGAGGAACTATATCAGTCTCACTAAACTACACACTCCAAATAGCACAGCAGGACTTTCAACTGAGCACTCTTGCAACTAACTTGCGGCCATTTTACACAAACATCCTAGTCTTGTCTTCACCGCCTGACTATCAACTGAATAAGCTCAAAGTCAAAGTCGAAGGTAGTTTACGACTGGCGGTTTGCCGCCAATTAGTTCGTCTTCGCGTCATGCCCTTGAAACCACCTGAGATATTTTCTTGCAACTAAATTCTTGCTGTCATAATCCTTGTATAACATTCACTCTGACGAGTGGATGGGTTTGTCTTTTATGAATATGCTGAACCTTTCATCAAGTGTACGTATGGCTCATATAGCATATTACTGACAATTCTTGCTTTTGCACTACGAGTATATACCCACAGTTCAAAAGCAAAAGTCCGAAAGCCCCCTGTCAGTCCAGGTTTTGCAAATCAGATCACGCCTATCTTACGTGTCTTATGCTACAACGGCAGCTTAGTCACTTGAACGGTCGTAAGCTCGAACATAGTCAAGTTTAAGTCTCTTATATTTAACCGACTAAGCTCGAAGTCGAAGTTACATTGCGACTGACGGTCAGTTAGTCGATAATTCTTGGTGTCGAGCCCAATTTGGGGCTCATGACCAGATATTAATTATTAACCGACTAAGCTCTAAACCTCGTCTCACTTATAACCTCTTGGCACGGACAACACAGAAAACTCTGTTCTTCTGTTGCTGTACCATTGTTGCTTTCGTGTCTGTTGCTGTGGGAATGTGTTTACGGAACCGTTGCCCAGAAACGGCCCTGGTATATCCGCCCATCTCGCGGTCGTTGCATAGCAATGGCTATAAGCGCTGCAATATAATCCTACTATCTACGTCTACGCCTAGTGATCTACAAAAATTTTATTTTCATATCCCCATGAATTTTACATTCCCTGCCTATCTCATAATCCTTAATTGTATTACCACAAGAATATTTGGTGGAGGGTTCAAGTTATGTTCATCTCTGTGCAATGTTACCTTCGAATAATATGTTACTCTTCATGTAATACTGATATATGGCACGAAACCCTATCCCACACCACACATACAACCCAACGAGTGGAGTTCGATCTGTACACTCACCGTCAGGATCAACAATATTGTTGAGTGTCTTGGTGCCCAGCACCGGGTGTCCTGTGGCGTCCTGCGTCACGCACAGATACACCTGTTGGCCAATATTCTTGATGCGAACGTTAGCGTGTTCGGGATCTTTCAGGCTCGGAAACATCGTAAAGCAGTCGATCTGAGAGACAGAGTATCGCTACTCTGAGAGCAGGAGCGCTTATATAGCGGGGACAGGGTCATTTTGGCGGGGAAGTACGACGTCAGTGGTGACTCGTGAGTTTCCCGTCTCTACGTCACGACTCAACTACGTAATGAAACAATAATTATTACCAGGTAAGAGAACGGGAAACTCCCTACTAGTGACACTGACGTATTAACGCATATAGCCGATACAATCATGATTTCAGTTTAAGGTTTATTGTAGATTTACGTAAACATTTACCAACATGGTTGTTATCCAATCAAATTTTGTATTTATTTGTGTGCATAATCAATAGCCCAAAGGCTGCAGGAGCAAAGAAACACACACAAAAAGACAAAACAAAATCCCATTAGTGTAATTGCGGAGTGCGGGTAATACTGGAAGAATTATAAGAACGAAATTATGTTCCTTCTTTCTGAGTGGTTGCCAACAGGAAGTAACCTACAGCAGGCAACAATGTAATGTATACAAAACTAAAAACTAGACTAAGAATTAAATTTAATAATTATAAACTAAAACAAAAGAAGTAACAAAATAATAATAATAATTCAATTAAATTCATGTTTATTTACATGCAAATTTAACAGCACAGAGACCAATTAAAGTTAGCACGAGTACATAGAAATACACAAAGGTAACTAAAAAGCAAAATACAAAATATGACACTCTATACAATGGCAATAAATTAATAATAATTCCAAGAAAAATTATGGTTAGCGTTAACAGGAGAGAAAAATAAAATAAGATCAATATCCGTACATACACGCACATAATATTAAGATATTGACAAATATTATTAACAATTTTAGGTTGAATGTGATTGACAGAAATTGTCCCGACTGCAAATATGTCGAGATCTTCACCCACCGCTTTGGCAGTATAGGAGCACCATTAATAATAATAATAACAATATTTGGGTTCGATGTCACGTAAAGTCATGTGGAATTTATAGTGAAAATATGGCAGTGGGGCTGTTTTTCTCTGAGCACATGTTTCCCCTACCAATTCTTATCCCACCAACTACTACATATTCATTAATCATCCTATCACCGACGCTATATAGTCTCGATCCTGCCAGCATCGTTAAATAACCATTCCACTCCTTCACAATAAGAGTATAGACAGTGTCACGTAACTTCGAATAAGGCCCCCGCATTCCTAGTCAAATCCCGCGCATAGCTTGTGGTGAGAGGAGTTTCTTAACACACGCTCTTCCACTTTCACCGAGCCCTCGCGTTTCGTTGAAACTATCCTATTCTCTTTTCGAAGAACATATTACAATAATACAAATAGTATATTGTCACTCGTCATGCAAAGAAAAATATGTTTAATGTGTATTACCAATTTATACTTTGAAAATAAAAAGGTAATAGTCATATGTAATGAAGAAAAGAATTTAGCCATTCGTCCTGGAAGTACATGTAGAATTAACTAGTGTGTCCCTGTTAAAAATGTAGTCTATGCCGTGAAAATTAAAACTGGTCATACCTCGTATCTCTTATTTACTCATCATCTTCATCTGACGTTTCACTTTCCTCACTATCTGATGTGATGATTATATTGTCTATCCTGGTGTCGATATCCAATTCCCTTGCGAAGGACTGGTCCTCTCGATTTTCCACTTTATTGCAATATGCTGCCCAGTATTCGGCGGAAATAGAATTAAATTTCTCCTCTGCTAGACGCATTGCATCGTCCAACTTAAATGTCACGTTCCTTTGGCCCATCCAATTTTTAACGGTGCCCCACACCATCTCAGTAGGGTTAAAGTCTGGATGATAAGGTGGGAGACGTATCACAGAGTGTCCAGCAGCAGCACAAATAGCGTCTAGTCTATATTCTTTATTATCTGACTTGTGTTTTTTTATTATTTCGTACAGGTCTGGTTTCAGTGCCGAAGCCGGATACAAAATGTTCCGTTCTGCCAACCACTGTTTCATTTCACTTACTTTGTTATTTGAAGTTGGCCCTCTGGTTACTTCAATATTATGGTAACTTGCATTGTCAGTTACGATCACCGTTCTTGGAGGCAAGTTTGGAATTAATTTTTCCAGGATCCACTTCTCAAAGTTTCCAGAATTCATCTCGTGGTGGTAGTCTCCTGTTTTTCTGCCTGACTTAAACATAGGCAAAGCTTTCTCCACAAAATCTTGCTTACCACCACAATGTACAATAATTGCTCGTGGAAGTTTGGCAACAGGAGAGGAGAGTGCTTTGTTTAGAGAGTCATCCCAGGAGTATGACGATGTGTGGCTACTATGCAAGTACTTTTCTAGGCCGACCGTCTCTGCGATATTGCCTGATTGTCCTCAGATAATGCAGGCGTTTAGAACGGGTGTTATGCCATTCAATCAATGTTTTTCTGTTATCCCTCGTCCTTCGACGGAAACCAAGCCCTGCGAACAATTCTCCTGCAACTAGGAAGACTTCCTTTAAATTTTAGGTCTCTTACCATTTTTTTGTGAAGTTTGGGCATGCTAACTCTTTCGCCCTCTGTTTTATGAAAGTCGTAGACCATTCTTCTGATGGCGTCTTCTATAAACTGATGACTTTCCGTTACAGGTTTCTCCTTCTTACCTTTCTTGGTCGGTGAGTCAAAGGAAGCGCCCTCTTCTAAGCTCTTTTCTTTTCGAATAGTTTCATTCAGTGCAGTACGGCCGATTCCTGTAGCTTCACATACTGTTTTCTGGATTGACTTTAAGTTTACAGCAGCTCCACTATCTGCTGTCTCTTTAAGTAATTACATACATTTGCAATTACTTGCTTCGTCTGAGAGTGTAGACCTATACCCTGACCTAATTTCTTACTCATTATGTACGATTAGCGCACAAGAAAACTGACGTCTTTAAACAGATGACAGAAAAACCGTAAGTATAACCTGCTTCGAGGGTGACTTACAAACAACTGGCCGCTTGTCACTTCTCACACCCTCGAATCCACCCCGTTGTCTGAAATTTTTCTTCTGCACATTCAAGGTTAATCTTGGCCTTGTTCGAAGTTACGTGACACTTGCTATAATAGTGTGTAAAATTAAAGTTGTCGCCATGTTTAGTTACACGTTAGGCCATAAGGAGGTGATTGGTCAGCTTCACGTCACGACGCCTTTGCTTCAGGGGACGGTGACCGGTGCGCGCTTAGTAGGGGGTGAGTGGGACCCAGAGTCGGCCTAGACGCAATGGCGATAAGAAACAGTGGCAATAATAATAATTCAATTCAATTCGTGTTTATTTACGTGCAAATTTAACAGCACAGAGGCCAATTACAAAGTTAGCACGAGTACACAGAAATACACAAAATAATTAAAGAGCAAAACACAAAATATGTCAGTCTATATAATAGCAATAAATTAATAACCATTAAAAAATTGACGTTAGCTTTAACATGCGAGGGGAAAAAAGTACATTTCCAATAGTTTTGCCATTTGTGGGGAGAACGGACAATACATGTACATACACACATAGAAGTTAATAATAATAACTNAAATGAAAACACTAATCAAGTAACTCCGTAAAAGGTTTGGTACATGCTTGTAAAATATGATTCAGAGAAACCGCTCCGTCTGCAAATATGTCAAGATCTTTACCCACCACGTTGGTAGCAAGGGCGCACCGAGAAGAGGGACAGTGTCTTTTTGAGGGACGAACGCTAAAAGTAGAGAAGTCTCGAACATGGCAAGTAGGAACACGAAGACTAGCATTATCCAGAAGGGAGGAGCAGGATTTAAGGCCACGATAAACCTGAATGAAAAAGAGTGCATCAAGAAGATAATAATTAACAAAATTGGTTTAGGCATGTGCCACGCGTGAGATGAAAAATGCATAAAGGATCTTATTCGGAAATTTTAAAGCGAAGAAAGCACTTTGAGGATCTATGCGGAGGTAGGAGGTCAGGGAGGAATCTTTTGACTGCATGAATGTTGGAGAATTTCTTGACTCTCAGCTTTTCAAAAATCTGTACTCTATGTTATTAATACACGTAAAACGATAGTAATAATTATAGGAATAATAACTGCCAATAATCACGATCATAATAAAAAATTACCCCCACAGAAAGGATATGCAGTAACGTTCAGTTACGTACATGCAGTGAAATTTCTGCCGCGCAATAAGAAGGAAGGTACGGACTTCCCTCGTGTGCAGTTGGATCTCTTCACGCTGCTCAACTTCCCTTCAGGGAAGCAACGCCGGAAAACTTAACTGAATTCATCGCGTTGTTAGACCAGACCTAATCAGTAGTTCGAATTATAATTTTTATATATACAGGACTAATGCAAACTGTTACAGTCACATAGCAACAAGATTGGAAAGAAGCCGGCTTACGGCGCACATAAACGTAATCTAACGTAACAAGAGGTTCTACGAAGAATTAATCGCCTACTTTCCCTTGATGCGATGACATAGAAAACGGAAAATGAGGGGAAACACACAGACACACAGATGAACATACAGCCCGTTGCCTAGCAAAGATAAGGAGGAACTTACAGACATATACAGCAAGGCGCTCTCATAAGTCTCATAAACCTAAAAAAGAACTAGGGGTGGACACAGACACACAGACGGCAAGGTGATATCATAATCCTTCTAACAAAAATTAGAAGGGGATATACAGACAGACAGCAAGACGATCCCATAAGTCTCCTTTTATTTTTCAAAATGAGGAAAGTAGACTAAAAAACAGAACGTTATAAGAGTTCCCAAACGAAAATTATTCCGATTTTTCTATAATTAACGCAATAAATAAATAAATAAATAACCTTTTTTTTTCCCCCCTTGGCACTACAGCCCCAGTGGGCCTAGGCCTACCTCCATGAACTTCTCCGTTCACAAATAAAGGACCTATACCCATAAGAAAAGCAGGAGCTGGTGTGTTGAACATAAATGGAATTAAACCAGAGAGCGGGCACACGCTAGCAGCTCCGCACGTCAATATGCTTTATTTTAATTATACAACATTTATCTCCTGACTGAGTTGTAAGGCTTCTTGGCGCCTACAAGTAGCCGAGGTGCTGTTCCACCGTACTTATTTTCCTCCATTAAGTCCTGAATGCGGAATATGCGATCACTTCTTGCTCTGTTACGTCAAAACCCACCCAGACGATCCCCAACAATTTCGTCTGCGTATGGAGTTAACCTTGAAAGAAGAATGTTGGATAATGTTCTGTTTGTAGGCGCTACATGACAGCCGCGGTACGCCCCAATAATCAGTACACTCGGCTTTAATCCTTCCATCGCTGTAGCAACTTTAATTATTCCAAATATAGCTAAAAACTTCGTGGATCTCAGAACTTTATGTTTCACCTCCTGCTAGGATCGGTTCTATCCGAATTTCTTCAATACCTGGCGATTAATACAGTCAAAACTTTTGAACTCCAATTTCAACTACACAAGAACTGGTCGTAGGGAATATGCAAGCCATTCAAACTCGACAGGATATATTTGCAGTGAAGGCTTCATGAGTGTAAGAGAAATTATACAAAAATAGGCTCAGGTACTTTTTTGATTTTTTATTATTTTATTGGGATGGGGTGAGACTGAGTCCACTTGATACATCGGCCATTAACTGGCCTATTTTGCCAGCTCCGGATGCTACATGATGAGCGTGGAGCAGTCAGTAGAATGAGAATTAGCAGGGGAAACCGAAGTACTCGGAGAAAATCTGCTCCAGTACCACTTCGTCCAAAATAAATCCCGTATGACCTGACCTGGGCTCGAACCCTGGACGCCGCGGGTTCATGTACTTTTTTTTTTATTCGCTAAGTGGGGGGTGGAGTGCAACTGGGTCCACTCGGCACGGCGGCCACTGATTGGCCTATTGTAGCCTGCTCCGGGTGATTATGATGATTATGATACCGGAGAATTTGGTGGAATGAAGATTGGCAGGAGAAACTGAAGTACTCGGAGAAAACCTGCTCCAGCCCCACTTTGTCCACCACAAATCCCAGTTGACCAGGCCCGGGATCGAACCCGGACCGCCGCGATGGGAAGCCAGCGACTAACCGCTTGAGCTCTGGCGCGGGCACTTCATATACTTACTCATGGTATTAAACGCTTCACGAGTATATATATCAAATTTTGTTCCTATTCGGCCGCCCAACCCCCGCTTCCTCTGTGCCTGGATGTGGTTTAGAATTTCCGGACTTACGAATGTTGATAAGAGCAAACAGCGCCCTGCCCATCGTGGCACAGAGAAGGGTGTGTTCTTCGACACTTGAGAGACGAAACACGGCTGGACACAGTACTAGGAGCAAGGTCTTACAGCACTCAATCAAAACAAATTTACATATTTTGTACTCAAAAGAAAGTCTGTAATTTGCCTCAGTAAAACTTCGAAGGCACTGAGAAATGAGCATATACATTATTTTTCTCACGGGGTGAAACTGAGTCCACTTGGTACGTCGGTCACTGTTTCGCCTATTGTACCAGCCCCAGATGGTAGATGATGATTGTGGAGCAATCGAAGGAACGCGAATTGGCAGGGGAAACCAAAGTACTCGTAGAAAATCTGCCCCGTGCCACTTAGTCCACCACAAACCCCATATGACCTGACCCGGACTCGAACCGGGCCGCCGCGGTGGGAAATCGGCGACTAACCGCCTGATATTAGGTTTTAATATACAAATTCTCCGGTGTCCTGATTGTCTATAAGATACAGCATTGATAGCATCGCTGAATAACGAATAAAAATCTCAATACGTGACAAGTTATAATAGGCCAGATGGTTAAATGAATCCCCCCTCACGCCCCATTTCTTCTGAACTCCATTTTAACATCCCTTAAGTATCGAGTTACGCTCCGGAAAGGACTACTCCTAAGTTATGAGACTACATTTTATACAAAGCCGCGCCATAATTCAAGCAGTTAGTTGCTGGCTTCCCACCGCGGCGGCCCTGGTTCGATCCCGGGTCTGGTCAAGTGGGATTTGTGGTGGACAAAGTGGCGCTGGGGCAGGTTTTCTCCGAGTACTTCGGTTTCCCCTGCCAATCTTCATTCCACCAATTACTCCACAATCACCCTCACCTATCATCTGGGGCTGAATAGGCCAGAAGTGGCCGCAGTACAAGGGACTTAGTCCCGCCCCACTAGGAATAAAAAAATGTATACACATTTCTCATCTCTCAGCCGTATTA